TTCATGTAAAAACAGAAAGAGAAAAAGAGAGAGAGTGATGGAGAGAGAAATTGAGTATTAGGAAAGAAGGAGAGGGAGAGGGATAAAGACAGAGACAGAAACAGAAACAGAAATAGAAACAGAAACAGAGACAGAAAGAGAAAAAGAGACAGACAGACAGCCTATCAGTAACGGCTGAAATCTATTTTATCTCGAAAAAGAATAGGTAACCTATCACATCAATAAAATAAAAGATTAGCATCATGCTAGGAATACAGACTCCTCTGCATGAATGGCATAAAATAAAGTTCTTCAGTGACCCTAAATAAAACTCTATCTAAACCTTAAACCACATATAAAAGACAATAAGACAAATCTCGAAGAAAAAAAATTCACAGCACAGCATCAACCAATCTATCGCTCAAATATAGACTCTGGACATCTCGCAAGGTGGGAGGGGGGTGTATGGCATTGCCCGCCCCCTCTCCCTTCCTTTGCTGGCTTCAGACCCTTCAACCACATCAAGTGTAGGACGAGCAATATAAAAATGTGGCAAGGCTGTCTGTCATGTTTAAGGCTCGCCAGCTAAATGTCCCGCAGTTAATACCACTGAAGAAAACACCTGTAAAATTTGTCTGTCGTGATAACAAACGCTGTTTTCTGTATTACTTTAAAATAGGGTAACAGTGTGCAAGGATGTCAGTATCAAAGTTTTTTTTCTTTTTTTGTACAAATTTACACCAATATGAAATGACATGATGCTGTTTACGGATATAACGTAATATTACATGTTATACTGTTAGGTGCATGATTTCAAAATAGATTGACAGTACTATAGTGCCTCTTTGATCATTGTAATGCTTCATCAATATAAAGAGAGAGAGAGAGAGGAAAGGGGGCAAACACACACACACACACACACATACACACACCCATACACACACACACACACACACACACACACACACACACACACACATACACACACCCATACACACACACACACACACACACACACACACACACACACACACACACACACACACACATACACACACACACACACACACACACACACACGTACACACACACACACACACACACACACACACAGAAAAAAAAAAAAAAAAAAAAAACAGACAAACCAACAGAAACACAAACCTGACACAATGCAATGAACACAGATACACCAGACCACCTCGACACCTAAACTCCCAAGACCCAGGAGGAAACACGAGCCCGCTAATCAACCATCGAGAGTGACGAGACACTTCGCTGACGTGCGGAGGCCTGACATCCGGACAGAGAGACTTCCAAATCGATTCCGTGCGGTCGCCAGCAAGAGCAATTAACAGGAGGGAGAGTTCAGAAAAGGTTTTCCTCCTCGACGAAAATTAATAAGGGGAAGAATAGATACGACAGGGGGGGTGGCGGGGAAAAAAGTAGAGGAAAAGAAGAGGGAAAAAAAGGTAGAGGGAAAAGAATGAGCAGAAAGGGGGATGTTGAGAAGGAGGAGGGGGTGGTGAGGGGAGGGGGAAGGGAAGGGGAGAGCGTACTTTGAGAAAATGAGGGGGAAAAAGTAGGTTAAACTATGGAAGAAAGAGAATAGGGAATTGGTGGTTTGATTGAGATGGGTGGAGACGGGGGGGGGGAGAGGAGGAAGTTCAGTAGGAGGAGGAGGAGGAGAAGGGGGAGGGGAAGGAGGAACAGGAGATGGCAGACGAGGGAAGGTAGCGCAGAAGGAAGAGGAAATAAGGAAAGGGAGGGAGAGCAAGAGGAGACGAAGGAGGAAAGAAGCAACAGCAGAAGCATGAGGAAGAAAGGAAGGCAGAAGAGGAAAGGCAAAAAAAAAGGAGAAAGGAGAAACAAGAAAAAGAAGGGCTAGGGAAAAAAATACAGAATAATAAAACCAAGAAAAAAAAATACAGAAAGAAAAAAAGGATCACAAGAGCAGAAAGGAGATGACCAAAATGATGACGTGCCTTCGTATTTTTGATCCGCCGAAGGGATATTGACAGAAGGACACAAGTGGAGCTTCCCGCCAGTTAATACAAGAGACGCCAGACCCATCTAGCGGCCGAAACCGGAACTGTGTCCATTCCTCTGAGGCCTATATGAGAAAGTGTCAATATTTGCTTAACGTAATGAAAAGTACTCACACACGAGTCGCTAGCTTCTTGTATACTTACAATATTTATACAGTTCTTCAGGAATTTCGAAAGTAGAGCATTTAGCGGTTATATATGAATAACTTAGCGAGTGCAAGATTCTGCTTGTCGAGAGAACTTGTGCTTTAATTTTAGAAGCGCAAGGAGTTGATTAATTAATCGCTAATCGAGTTCATGTCAGCTTCATAACTCTCCATAACTCTCCAGGTAGTGATGCACAACGATGCCATCCTAACGTGCATTGCAAAATCAAGTTGCATGGAGGGAATCATTCTCGGAGATTAACGATGCAATAGCCTAGCCTGTCAGTCATGAACGAGAGAGTGATTATGGCGATGCGAGATGATAATAGAAGATGCTTATTTCCGGAACAGAAGTGATTAGAGGGATATAAGAACTGATGACTTCAGTAATAAAAGCAGTATTCACGTTCGACGTTATGTGTGTGTATGTATGTATGTATGCATGTATATATATATATATATATATATATATATATATATATATATATATATATATATATATATATATATATATATTTTTTTTTTTTTTTTTTTTTTTTTTTCTTTTTCTTTTTTCTTTTCTTTTTCTTTTTTCTTTTTTCTTTTTTCTTTTTTTTCCAGAAAGCAGGCATTTTACGACCGCCGCGACGGGGAATTGAACCCGTAGTCCAGTGCTCTAACCATTGAGCTATCACGGTAGTCGTATATATATATATATATATATATATATATATATATATATATATATATATATATATATATATATACGTATGTATATATATATATATATATATATATATATATATATATATATATATATATATATATATATATATATATATATGTGTGTGTGTGTGTGTGTATATATATATATATATATATATATATATATATATATATATATATATATATGTACATACACAGAACGTCGAACGTGAATACTGCTTTTATTACTGAAGTCATCAGTTCTTATATCCCTCTAATCACTTCTGTTCCGGAAATAAGCATCATCTATTATCACGTGTGTGTATGTGTGTGTGTGTGTGTGTGTGTATGTATGTGTGTATGTGTGTGTGTGTGTGTGTGTGTGTGTGTGTATGTATGTGTGTATGTGTGTGTGTGTGTGTGTGGGTGTGTGTATATATGTGTGTATGTGTGTGTGTGTGTGTGTGTGTGTGTGTGTGTGTGTGTGTGTGTGTGTGTGTGTATTAATTAGAATAAGGATAAAATTAAGAGCGAGAATTGGAACAAATTGGAACAAAAAATATTCATATACGACAAGAAAAAAATAGACCAAGAAAAAAGAAAAATCAGACAAACACACAAAACAGAAAACAAGAACGGGAACATCAACATGCCAATAAAGACACGAGCAACCCCATCCCCCCTCCTATCTCCCCTCCATCCCACCCTCCCCTTCCTCTCTCCCCTCCCCATCCCCATCCCTACCCCCTCCCATCCCTCTCTCTCCATCCCCCCCACTCCCCCATCCTTCTCCCCTCCCCCATCCCTCCCCACACACATACAAAACGAAACCAGACCAACTCACGTGTGGGATTCTTGGTATATCTCACGGTGATCTTGAAGCCGTTGCCCCTCCTCGGCACCCGGTACTGGATCAGGGCCGCGTTGCCTGAGCTCTGGAACACCTTCTTCTTCAGCCTCCCGCAGAACTCGTGTACGCGGCCCTCCAGAGGCGCGTCCACCTCGCTCGGGAACAGCTCGCCGCCCAGCTCCCAGCCGTCCACGAACTGTTTGGTGGGGTGAGGGGTGTGGGTGGGGAGTGAGGGAGGGAGTGGGGTGAGGTGGAGGGGGGAGTGAGGGTAAGGGGGGAGAGGAGGGAGGGGGTCAGGGGAAGGAGGGGGGAGGGAGAGAGTGGGTGAGGCAAAGGGAGAGAGTGGGTGAAGGGGGGAGAGTGAGTGAGAGTGGGGGGGGAGTGGGTGAGGGGGAGGGAGAGAGTGGGTGAGGGAGAGAGTGGAGTGAGAGGGAGGGAGAGAGTGGTTGGGGAGGGGAGAGTGGGTGAAAGTGGAAGCGGAGTGAGGAGTAGGGAGAGAATGGGTGAGGGAGAGAGAGAGAGAGTGGGTGAGGGGGGAGTGAAAGTGGAGTGGGAATAGAAAGGATAAGAAAGGGTGGAGGAGATGGAAGGGGTAGAAGGGGGTAATTGTTGGTGGGTTGGTCAGGGGGGGGGGTGAGGAGTGAAAAGTAATATTATAAGATTTGGAATCGGTTTCATCTATTTCTATATCTATCTACCTATACGCACGCACAGCCACACATATATGCGTGTGTGTGTGTGAGAGTATGTGCGTGCGTGTGTGTGTATGTGTATGCGTGTATGTGTGTGTGTGTGTGTGTGTGTGTGTGTGTGTGTGTGTGTGTGTGTGTGTGTGTGTGTGTGTGTGTGTGTGTGTGTGTGTGTGTGTGTGTGTGTGTGTGTGTGTGTGTGTGTGTGTGTGTGTGTGTGTGTATGTATGCTGTATGATTTTTTTCTTTATTCTTATTTGATCCAACAAAAATATATATTTTAATCAACAAAACAAAAACAGTAATTAAGCTTCACGGATGTTTTACATAGCAACTTCTATTCAATTCATAAACACGTTGTATTTACATTTTCTTTTTTTTTCTTTTTCTTTTTTTTTTTCTGGGGGGGGGAGGGGTTATGACCGCCTATATCTACAACAGTGATGAAATAGCTAAGAGTAACACTAATTTACATATTTGAAAAAGCGCAATTAGACCATTAAATGTAAACAGCTAATCTATTTGCAAGACTGTAAGGAAAGTTTTATTCTAGGTCTCTTGCATTATATAAATATCTTTTTGGGTACAGAATCAGGCAGAAATGATGCTGAATAAATTGTAAATACAACAACGAAGGAAAGAACAAGAAAATACACGAATATGCCGGAGGCCTTTTCGCTGTATTGCCTTGATGTATTGCCCTGAAGAAGCAATAAAGCTCTCTCTCTCTCTCTCTCTAACTCTCTCTCTCACTCACTTACTCACCCACTCACTCATTCTCTCTCTCTCTCTCTCTCTCTCTCTCTCACTCCTCTACTCACCCACTCACTCATTCACTCTCTCTCTCTCTTCTCTCTCTCTCTCTCTCTCTCTCTCTCTCTCTCTCTCTCTCTCTCTCTCTCTCTCTCTCTCTCTCTCTCTCTTTCTCATACATACACACGCATACAAGAGAGGAGAGAGAGAGAGAGAGAGAGAGAGAGAGAGAGAGAGAGAGAGAGAGAGAGAGAGAGAGAGAGAGTTTTAGTCATACAGACGCTACTCGTGCAAGTATATCCTTAATTAGAAACTACCTCAAGCCTGTTTATGTTCTGGTGTTTGTTCTCGGCAGCAGATGCTTTCATTAAGTGTTTACAAGCAAGAACTTACTCTTCATCAGTACTTCATTGTGTGTTTGTGTTTGTTCGTGTGTGTTTTGCTTGTGGATGACCGTGTTTGTTTGTCAGTAAACGCAAACATAAACAATCACTCACAAACATATTACAGACGTATGGATTCGGTGGCGAAATAGTGGAAGCTTCCAATGTGTGATATTTAACACATGAGTAGCAGGGATTGACCGGCTATGCACAGTCAGCATCGTGCACCGGCTGTGTGTGTGTGTTCCGCGTGAAGTGTGAAGTGTGCCTTCGCGTGTATTAACGGAAGAATATATATTCCAGTGATATCATATCTCGTATAGCTTATTCGTGAATGTAGTTATGTATTGTAAGTAAATAAAAGATACAGCGTGTATTTTATTCTCTCCACAGCCTATAAAAACTGTGTCTCGTTAAACATTGTGAGGGAAACACTTTGAAAGTAAAGCTTTGTGTTTGCAAATTTACTTATCAATGCAATATCGAGCTCTTACTATGTATTGCAAAAGCAATTCAGCAACAGTTATTGTTGAAAGAGTTTACTGTTTGACTGTACTTAGTTCCTATTGTGCAGATTATGATAACTGACATTTTCGCATCCTGACCAGATCACACGAATTCGGATTTGTAATTATAGTTATTCGAGAGAGAGAGAGAGAGAGAGAGAGAGAGAGAGAGAGAGAGAGAGAGAGAGAGAGAGAGAGAGAGAGAGAGAGAGAGAGAGAGAGAGAGAGAGAGAGAGAGAGAGAGAGAGACAAAGACAGAGACAGAGATAGACAAAGACAGAGACAGAGATAGACAAACAGACAGACAGACAAAGATAGACATACAGACAGACGGACAGACACACAGAAAGGAAGAGAAAGAGAGAGAAAGAGAGAGAAAGAGAGAGAGATAGAGAGAGAGAGAGAGAGAGAGAGAGAGAGAGAGAGAGAGAGAGAGACAGACAGACAGACAGACAGACAGACAGAGAAACAAACAGACAGACAGAGAGGAAAAGAAAGAGAAAGAGAGAGACAAACAGAGAATCAAACAGACAGAGAAGCAGACAGACACAAACTGAGAAAAAGACAGAGAGAAAAAGAAAGACATAAAATGACAAGGAATGAAGGGAGAAATTATTGAACGAACCGACCGGGAAAGCAAGCCAGCAAACTCAGCGCAAGGAATTACCCGCTCGGTTCTTAATCTTTGGACGACCAATCACAGCCAGTGAAACGATTAGAGCTCATTACGATAAACATTTTGATGAAAGACCTTTGCCAATTAGGTCCAGTGCAGGAAGCGAATGATAGAGAAATTAGTTCCTAATGACCTGCAGACACATGGAGGATATAATGAATGATATATTAATGCACTGAATACCGATGTATACAATCATAACCGTATACAATCACCCACATACATACACACACCCAAGCGCACACAGAAACAAACAAACACACACTCACACTCAATCACACACACACGCTCTCTCTCTCTCTCTCTCTCTCTCTCTCTCTCTCTCTCTCTCTCTCTCTCTCTCTCTCTCTCTCTCTCTCTCTCTCTCTCTCTCTCTCTCTCAAACCCACTTACACACTCACTTAATCACACTTGCACAAACACACACACACACTCAACCACAAGCTCCCACAAACAAACACACACACACATATACGCTCAACCACACTCTCCCACAAAAAAAACAAACGAACACACACATACACACACACACACACTCAACCACACACTCCCCAAAACAAACACACACACACACCCTCAAACACGCACGCACGCACCCACCCACGTCCTTCCCCTGTCTCAAATCCCTTACGCTGACGAGGCCGTTGACGTCGCAGTCGACATCCAGGTAATCGAAGGACACCTGGATGGCCTCGTCCGGCTGACTGATGAGGTAGACGCCGCAGACATCACCGGTGCCGCGGCTCTTGTAGAAGTAGGTGCCTTCCTCCAGGCCCACCAACATGCACT